GCCCACGAATACGGCATCTGCATCTATTTTCTACCTAAGTTCAACGTCCAAGTAATATAATATTTTGCTTTCAATCAGTCAAATTAAATAAAAAATTACCTTCGAGCAAACAATAGACGTACTACATACGTTTATGTTTGTACACACATATTATTGCATTTTTTATATTATTATGTTTTAATCAGTGAAAGATTTTTTTGTAAGAGTTGACTGAACTTAGGAAAATAACATTTTTTTTTTTTTTACGGTATTATCGAGCAAACGATAAAAAGTTAATTTCCACAATCATAAAATTATAATAAACATATTGAACATATTGAAAACCAGTATAGTATATCTATTTTAATAACATTTTGTGGTAATACCTATTATTGATGATGACGCATTTTTATATATATTCAAGTGGAATCGCGGACGTTGTATAAATTATTAATCCACCGCAATGAAATATTTATTCGAAATAACGAACTTAAAATCATTAAAACGCTTTGTATGCTAATATATTTGCAATAATTGATTTAAATGATGATAACTGTTTAAACTGTCTGTATAATAATACTGTTGGATGATATATTTTTAGAGTTTTTTCTGTCATACCTTAAATATATTATCAAGAAAAAACGAAGAAAGATTCTTTTCGGATTTTCACCGCGTTGAGAAATATATTCTGTACAACTTTTCTACTTGCAGACATATTGCTCCAATTTTCAAATGTAACATCTTTCCTGAAAGACAATCATATCAAGTTGGTACATTAAGGAGATAGTTTTTTGATTTTTCTTGCAGTTTTCTTAATAACTGGAAAATAATCTTAAGGAAAACAAGAAAGTTTACTGAAAAAAAGATGTGATTATTTTCGGTTTTTATTTTGGTCTTTTCAAAATAATCGTAGAGATCTGAAATTTGTACACAACATTTATATTGGGTTTTCGTAGAATTTGTAAAATATCCCGGTGATTTTTCAGCTGTTTATAGTCATTAGATATTTTATTTTTGGTATTATGTGGATAAAATTATTTTTGCCACCAGAAATACTTCTTAATTTTTCAAGAGATTTCATCGATCATAAATAAGTTAGAAAAAAGGATTAAGTACTTTATTAGTAATTTAGTAGATTTTTTTTATATAAGTTTTATTAATTTGAAATTTAAACGAAATTCGTAAAAACGAACTTTTTTTTTTGTAGATTTGAATTTTAGTTTCATGACGAAGTTAGTTTTTACGCTGAAGTTTTCTTTACAAGCGCGAATTTTACTGGAACATATAATATAGGTTTTTACCAAGTGTCATTATGAAACATTATTTAATTTTGTAAAAAGAATAATAAAAATCCTACATATACTATATAGGTCTACGAATTTAACCTATGGTCTTCTAATCAACAAAAAAATAAAAATGTCTGTCGAGACTATAAACTGAATATAAGTAGATAATAAAAATTATAAATATTTGTATAAAAATTACACTTTCCTATAGGAAACACGAATTGTATTTTTTTTAATAAAAATAAATAAAAGTACTGTTATGGCAGGTACTATCGATGATGTGAACCGTTTTTCATATACTTTGACGGCGGCGTCCATCAATGAAAATAATCATATCTTCAGAAAATATAAGTATAGAGTATTAGAGTCATCCGAGGTAACCGCAGTTTATAATAATATTATTAAATAATCTACCGCAAGGGCGTCAAAACCGTTGCGGTTCATAACCGTACACGAACGCTGTATATGGAAAGACAGCATATTTTTTCCAGAGGTATTTTCAAAGAATTACACGCGTAATTTGACAACTCGAAACAATATGTATAACTAATTTTATAAAATCCACAGCTTTCGTTGTGAAAACTACTATATTTGTAAGAAAATTAAAAAATGACCATCCCTAATTTAGGGCGTATCAACTAGACAAAAATATTTGATACCACAGACTATCCCTGAAATTAATAATGGGAGAACGATTTATGGTAGGCATATAATTGTTAACAGACTGAAAATAATTAAAAATATACACTTTATAATATAGTAACTAATACGTTCATTACTATACACTCAGAATCTTAAAAATAGTATATATTCTTGTAGATTTAATCAAAATTGTATACGTTGTTATCAAAAATTGACGTATGAAAATAATATATAATCATACTATAAGATAAAACATTATCGAAGTTGAGCGGAATTGAACGGTATTTTTAATGCATAATTTCTTCTTTTTTTTTTTCGAGAACTGATGCGGTACATTTTTTAAAAGATAAATTCTATAACGAAATTATAGAATTTGTGATATAGTAATAAAAATAGAAACAAGGAGATATATTAAACCGGATTTTTTTTCTGTTTTTGAAAGAACTGAGCCTGAAAAATACCAAGTAGTTTAATTATAACGTAAAAAAAAGACGTTCTAAGATAATTGAGACGGGTGCAGCCACTGTTATAGGTAATTTAATGTACATTTGTAAGTAATGATAAACTATTGCTGACGAAAAAACGATTCTGAGCGCAGTTCAGTTGATAGTGATGCTTTTTCAACAATATATATGTCATATTTGGTAAAATAATTAAATAGGCATTATATATTTTGTTTAATAATATTTGTTTAATATTGTTTTTTTCTCAGTTTTTCACATTTGCTGGGAAAACTCCTGAGAAAATCGAAAAATTACCTCCCTAAAGTACCTTCCCACACTGATTTCCTTTCAGAATAGGTTCTATATTTAAAAATCCACGGATCCAAAATATAAATTCAAATATAAAAATCCAAAACGGAATACAATACCGTTTTTCCTGCGTTTTCCCCATATTTTTTTCCGAATATCACATTTGCTAAGAAAACTCTTGGCATAATCGAAAAATAATCTCCCTAAAGTACCTTCCCAATCAGATTTACTTTCAGAAAAAGTGCTACAATTGTAAATCGGAACAAAATTGTTAGTAGAAAAGTTGTATAATATTTTTAACTGAATCACAACAAATAACAAAATTGATAAAATAATAAAAGCTTTAAGAAATACCATCTAGACAACATTTCCTTTCAGAAATGGTGCCGCGCATATATATCGGAGCAAGATTTCTAGTCGAATTCTCGTACACAGTATAAAAAAAAGGCAAAAAAATAAAAACAAAAAAAATATAAACATCTTAGTAAAACCTATAAATTCTTTGCTACACTCAGAATCTAAAAGGCTCGAAATGAATATCATGGCATAATACGATGACGCAATCAGGATTTGTCAAAGTGAAGATTCAAATATAATAAATTATTTCGTTGCATAATAAAATACACATTTTTAAGTTATCTAATGATTAATAAGACTCTCATGATGCTATAATGAAATACTATAACTATCACAAGTAACAAAGGAGTTAAATTAATGATTCAAATATATAATAGTAATATTAAATACATATTATATTTATACAAAATTGTCCAAGATTGAATGAAAAAACAGGAAATTCTTTATTTTTTCCAATCTATGATCTATAACTTTATTAACCGTAACCAACACATCTCTGTGTATATTCAGGAAATCTAATTTATATAATCTGTTTTCCTAGTTCACATATTTCTGAGATATGCTTTAAAAATTATGATAATCAAAAAATTTAAATCAACATTTTTTTAAAATCATTTATAAGGAACACGGGATTATTATACGACCATTATACGATGGATCATTGAGAGATACAGTTAAATCGTTTTCCATATTCCATACTCTTTGAAGTATTTTCTTAATAATTATCCAATTATCTAGCTAATGTACCATGCTAACCTAAGTCCATACTTTATCAGATACTTTATTCTTTGCATAAGTTATAATTTTAGTTTTAATCCAGACAGTTTTAATCCCTATTTATTTGGGCTCGTCCCGAATTATACATAATATGTACCAGTTAGTTTTAATTATTTTTAGTACTTCAGTTAGATTCTATTTAGTTTGTATTGTTGTACATCCATTCTTGGTGGACTTCAGCCTGTACTGGAAGAATAAATAAATAAATAGAAATATTGTACGAATTTGAGACGATACAGTGTTTCTAGTACAAAATTACACGTACAATGTAATAACAGAGTATATAGATACGTAAGTATAATAAAATCAGTCTAACAATATTAAATATTATGCATAAGTACTGCGGCTAAAAGGAACTACGTTATAAATAAACGCGCGCCACACATGTAATATTAATTAATTAACTAACCGAATTCGGTCATCTCTATATTATTATTTCATTATAATATTTTTGAATAATAATAATAATAATAATTGTAAATAGGACGCGGCCAAAAAACTATACTGCGGGTGATAATGTGACTGCGTGCATCCGACGATATCATTATACGTTTCGTGCGCGATGCGCATTGATCGCAAAGACCGCGCGTATCGGTTGTTCGTCTGATCGCGGTGACCGATCTATGTGGAAATTAATTAAAACCTATTCAATTAATATGTATATATATATATATATATATATATAGGTTTGATTAGGTTATATATATATATGTGTACTGTATGTATAGACACAATTTGTTTCGATAATAATAAATAATATTCGTCCGATGGGAGTCTACTTATATTATATTATTATTGGCATTATTTTTGATATCACATGTCTTTAGGCTGTATACAGCACCGTGTTATTCGTGTATAGTGACGTCTTGACAATATATATGCCTACCTATTTTTGTTTTCCAAATAAAAACCGACAACAGGATATGTTTTCATAATATTTCCTTAATGCTGCCATCGTTTATTAATAATTACGAGCAATATATACAAAATTATTTTTCGCTTTGCGGGATAGGGTCACATGAATTATTAAAAATACAAAAACTGATGATTTAAATATTTAGTATCACATAATAGCTTAACTTAACTAAAGAATACCCTGACTCAATATCTTCACGGCTCAGTTTATGAACCCACCATCTCGAAAGCCCATTCTACATTCCCATTCCCGATCTAGTTCGCAGAGCCCACTGACCTGGTCGGTTGCGTAAAGAGTCTGACGATGGGATGCCGGTTGGCACTAGCTTTGGCCTCCATTATCCTCTCGTTTTGCACCTTATAGCCTAGAATGTCGCCTATACCATGAAAAAGAAGGACTTAATGTCGGTCATGTCTGATATGGTCAATATCCCAGGATGGAATACACGTAGGGCCATAGAGCCCGTATAGGAGATTCTGAAAATCATTGGGCGTAATGCTCCTGCCATCAATAAAGCCTTAACTACCAAACGGAACAGTTCTTACAGCAGACAGATCGACAGGGCGGTCGGTGGGCAATGGTGTTGGATATTCGGTATGGCAACTGGGCACGCGTATTATTATTTTATGCTCCCGGACCTTACAAGCAGAGTGCTGAGAGTAGAATTTTTTCGCGTCTATATTTTGTATAATAGAAATATTCTTTGAAAAAACATTAATACATAACCGAATACTATATTAAAGTAATAATCCAAAACAACTGCGAAATTTGATCATGAAAATAGTATGGAGGAGTTGGAAATTTGACATTCAACCAAAGGTAAATCTTTGATAATATAGCACCATGCATAATGTATATATTATGTACAACATTTTATCCGCCTGGCTTTATTTGGAGACTTTGTTAGAGTGATATACAAAGCTATACCCGACGATATAGCGACATAAGTGCGATTTTAATTCAGATTTGAAAGTTTAATTCGAAGTTTAAAACGTATAAACATTATTATATGTATTTTCTTTTCGAGGTGCTTCGAGTTGCGAGTTTCAAAAAATGAGTTTCTGTTTAAAAATCGAAACAACTAATAATATTATTAACATTAGTATGTGTTTATTTACGGTAAAAATACTTACCTCGGAATAACGATTCTATCGAATTTATTCGAAATTTATGTAGATAGCTGATAACTTTATAATAGTTTTAGATCCACGAGAAAAACATCAGCCTGTGTGATACATTATACTATTGACTTGCTGTAATATAGTGTTTGTAAAATTGATTGTACAGTTAGACGCGTTGTATATTATTATGCTTGAATAGAAACTATAACGTATTATATGATGTGCGGAATAATAAAGATGTGCCTGACCTTGCGATTGATGTCCAGGATGCCGGATATTGCAAAATCATAAATATATATACATGTATAAGAAGACGTGCTGACGAATTCAAGTGGGGTTTTTTAGTCGTGTTTGTTATTATTATTATTTTTTTATTTTTATTAATTTTAGGCAATAAATCGTTTTAAAATTACATATACATATAATTTTACGTGGTATGCGGAGTCGGACTTTGTTTTTAGGTGCTTATAATACCTACCTACCTATATACTTTTTTTTCGTGTCCATCCATCAAGATTATTCTCAATCACGGAATCGTATTTTGTCGACGACGATGACTACGTCACCGAAAGGATTTCCTACATTATTTACAATAACTTCTTCTATGTCGTGTTCACGAAAAAAAACCTTATCATAATAATATAAGTAATTGATATCATTTTTTTTTTTTTAGTTTTCACGACTTTCGTGATCGTGACCTTATTCGCACAATACTCGTACAATTTAAATTTAATTAAAAGATATAAACACGATGCAACTATGATATTATATATAACTAGGTATATCTGGCTATAACACCTATTTAGAGATGTTCTCTTTAAACTTGAAATACGGTAAATTTAAAAAAAGTAACTTTAAAGCGATCCAAATAATTATACCGTATTTTTTTCAAACACCTTGATAACTAACTGAATTAACTAATTCGTGAGACGACAGTAAGTACGCGGAAGTTGTCAAAAAAAAAAAAATTTATACATCAAACGTAAGCACATTTAAACTGCTCCCCCTTCCCCAGTATTCAAAAATTTCATTTTTTTTGTACCAAAATTTAGCATATAATTAGCATGAATTTACACGCCTATCGCCACAATTTGCTTGCATTTAGTTTAGACGTTATATCAAAAAAACTATGGGGAGAAGCTAAATAAACTATTCTCTGCCCCCCGCCGGGTTTTAAATTCAAATGTTTGAACTTTCTCCGACGCCAATATTTAGCATAAAATGAGCATGAATTTGCATAACTACCGCGTTTATATCACTTAACACCCTTCACTTTCTTCAATTTTTGTTTTAATCTATAGTTATTTGTGTTTTGATAGGCATAAAGCTGTGGTTTTCAGGTTATGTGGTTGTGCTCTCCAACTGTTCTCTGTAAGTTTACGTAATAGTTCATTTTTGTAGGTAGTCATTTTAGATTCTGAGTGGAGCGAGGAATGTATCAGTTTTACAATAATATTTATTTTTTTTTGTTGAAATTCAGTTGAGAATTTTCGTAAAGACTAGACATTTGGACAGAAAACTTATATTTACTTTTTATAGATATATTTTGTGAGTTTTTACGTAATTTTTATTTAAGAAGTAATCTGTGGATAAAATTGTTAGCCGAAAAGAAATGCCCGAAAGTTTAACGGAAAGTTCATTATAAGTCGTACTTTGTGTTTTTTAGGGGGGGAGGCTTAAAATAAAAAATTTAAAATTTAATTATAATTTTTTTTAAAAAATTCAAAATATTCATTTTGTAAAATAGATTTTTAGAAAACTTTTGATGGTTGAAATTTTTGTTAAATTATGGTCTTTTATTTTCTACGATTTTTTGAAAATTTGAATAATTTTTTATTCAATCATAACAATATTGTTTATCAACATAAATTACCATTATTGATTGATTGAAACTACCTCGTATCTATAATATAATATTAACTCATAGAAATGAAAATCCCGACTAATAACTGACTGAATAACCACAATAGGTTATATTCATATTTCTAAAAACTTCAAAAATCATAGAAAATAAAAGATCACACTTTAACAAAAGTTTCAACCACTAAACTGTTAAAATTATCTTACAAAATGTCTATTTTGAATTTTTTTTAAAAAATTATAGTCAAATTTTAATTTTTTTCAGTCCCTCTCTCCCCAGAAAAAAATGTTCATATACAAATTGTAGCTCTGAGGCATACTAAATATTTAAAAATATATATATATCAAAATAGAATAAAAGTTATTACATTTGTCGAATCTTCGTGCGGCATCCGATATACTGACCTCAAAAGAGTGTCACCTTAAGGGGATAAATGGTAAAAATTAAAAAACTTTACGTGATGTATCTCAGGCAACGTTTTCAAACAGCTTATTTCGCCAAACAAAAGCACGTACACGTGTGTACTCTTAATAATAAACATAAACAATGTATCGATGGTGGTTTATTGTAATTTGTTGATAATTTGACTTGGTATTTTGTTTAAGTGTAATATTTAATTGCATGTGTGTGTGTGTATGTACAGATTACCTATTTATAATAGACACAGCATAGTACAAAATAATTTTTTCGGGGGATATTAAACTTTATCAGTGGGCCAGTCTACTTATTTGGATTTGTAGAATTTGTCTTTATACCTATTTATAAACGTTTATATTATACTTAATATACTATAGAATATCAAGGATAATATTTGGATTAAATGTATTATATATTGTATTATTCATTTTTCCAACGTGAAATTGTAAGTTAGTTTGAATTTAAGTGAAAGCATTGGTGCATGAATGTAAATTTGTGATAGTTAAATGCTAAATATTGAATACAGAAAAGAAATTTACATTTTAAATTGGAGGGGGAGGATATGGTGTACGTGTCAAAAAAGCAAAAACATTTTCCAAACTCGAAGAGAGTGATAAGAGAACGAAACGTACGTTTTTTTATGGTCACGTCGTTATTTTTGGTGATGATTTCGGATACGGAAGAATAGGGTTTTCCTCTCTTTTTTTTATTACAATATATTTGCTTGTACATGCAGTAAATATGTATGTAATTGTCTGAAATTAGCCATCTATAATACATTGGTCTGTTAATTTTCTATCGCCTTGTTTTGTTATACGCAAGACATCACTCGCTTTCAAAATCAAAGCTTCCGGTGTTCATCGAACGTGTGACAAATTCGTTTTTGACGAGACCAAAACACGCCATTACCTCATCACTATTGCGACGATGACTGCCCCCGACTAGAGTTGCACTTCCGACCGTGACGGTTCGAGTCGATTATTGGCATAAGGTCACAGAGGAAGGGTCACGGGCACCTGTAGAGTTACACGACTCTTTCGGCCATTATAACAACAGAATGTTATACAGGTACCTATAATAGAAGCAGTTTTAGCAATAATATAATAATATTATAATACACTCGTCGCCCGTCGTTGGAATCAGACGCACAACAAATTAGTGTGTATATCGTATACCTATAGATTTGTTGGCTGTTTTGGGAGAAATGATTATAGTCGTGACGTATAACATAGCAGCATGGTAATGTGACGGGAGCAATAGACCGATGCGTTACGCGCGTATAAATCGTATTATTAAATTACCGCCGTTGGTAAAAAGATAATAAAATTAATAATACATAATAGGCGTAAATATATTATAAAGGTACCAAAAACAACTAAAAATTCACTTGGGGCAACACACGTAAGAGTTAAAAAAAAAAAAATGTAAATAAATAGCATTTGGTCAATGATCGTGTATCATTTAGGTATTTTTAGATTCTGACCAAAATAAAGAATTTATTGGTTTTACTAAATTCTGATGCTTTTTAGATTCCGAGCGTGGCGAGGGAGCTATGGTTTTACAATGTTGTTTAATTCTTTTTTTTTTCTTTCTTCTAATCTGTGGACACGTTTTTCCTTAGTAAACTTGCTCTGATTTTTACGTGTAACAACTTTTATGAAAGCTCAAGTTGTCTAAATTGTACTTAAAATAGGATATTTTCGATGTGATTCTTTAAATAACAGCATTTAAGTGGGAAAAACCCGTAGGAAAACATACAGTTTCACGATTTCATTATTTTATAAAAACACGGACGACGTTTTTTACCAGAAAAAAATGATTTAATCGAAAAATCATAAGACATATTTTTGATTTACTTTCTTACGGTTGATTGCCAAAACTTTTGAACTTTTAAGGAAATACATTTTTTTGGGTTTTTTTGGTGTAATTGGTAATAATTGTATTATTATTGTAATAATAAATACATTTAAAGACTTGAAACTTGGTAATAATACTTATATTGGACTTACCTAGACGTGGTGAAATTTCCAAAATCATCGGACGACTTTTTTGTTTTAATAAGCGTTTTGAAATCAAATTTAAACGAAAATCGCAAAAAAAATTACGACACTTCAAATTATATAATCGTCTTTCGTCAACAATGGTTTATCGTTGCTTACAAATATACCAATGGTAAATTAAATAACCTTATGTATCCTACCTTCCCAACTTCTCACCTACAACATTTGCCGCTCCCATCCCCAGTATCAACTCTTTTTTATGAGTGATATTTAGAGTTAAAGATAGTAAAACATTAATTAATTTGGTTGACATTAAACATT